GCCGAGGCGCGGGGCGGGCGCAGGGGGGCGGCCCCGCCCTTCCTTCCTTCCTCTTTGCCTCCCTTTCCCCGTCGACCCCGCAGAGGCCGCCCTTGGAGCGGGGTATTGGGGCCCCTTCCATCCCATCAGCTGTCTCCAAACTTACCCCCTTCCCCGCACCCCTGAAGCTGGCCGGTGGTGGGCGCCTGCTTCCCAAGAGACTCAAAGGAGTTTCCATCTAGAAAGGTCGAGCAGTTTTACAGGTTGGGGTAACGACCCGCAATGAGTAAGAATTCGCCCAAGGTCCTAAAGCAAATTAGAATCCAAAGCTCCGCCTCCAGCCCTCCTGACCCCTGCCCCGTCGCTGGCTCCACACCAGACACGGGTTCCCGCTGCAGGTACAAACCTCTCTCGCTACCTGAGTGTGATCCTGTTTCAGGAACTGTGGATGAGGAATTCCTGAGCCCCTAAGTCCCCAGGGTTCCCAGGAGTAAAGTTTCCGTAGGGGCAGGGCCTAGTGACCCTAGAGGGCCCCTGCTCCAGACTGAGACGTGGCACTGTTGGTCTGGGAGAGAAAGTGGAGTTACCCTGGGGCAGCCGTCCTAGGAGGCACGGCCACATTCGGTTCATGCAAAGAGCAGGCTCCTACCTCCAAGGCCCTCTGGGATCAGGCAGGGAGCTCACTACCTTTTGAAAAAGTACTTTCTTCCCTTGGACAATTTTGTGTTCCTCCTTCAGGCTGGGATGTTGGGGAAATAGGGCCTGCATTGGTTTCCTATTGCTGTTGTAACAAGTTAATACAAATTTAGTGGTTTAAAACAACACGTATTTATCTTACAGGTCTGCAGGTTAGAAGTCTGAGCAGGTGTCACTAGGCTAAAATGCAGGCATCCATCAGCAGGTTGCATTCCCTAGTGGAGCCTCTGGGGAAGAATCTTCCAGGCTCACAGGGATTTTGGCCAAGTTCAGTTCCCAGAAGCGGTAGCACTGAGGTCCCATTTACTGGCTGGCTGTCAGCCAGGCCAGCCTTTACCCCCAGGTGCTGCCTGGGTTCCTTCTCTTGCTGTCCATGAGGCGTTCCCAGCAGCCTCTCTCTCTGGTCCTTGCATGTGGGCCCTACCTCTCAGAGCCAGCAACGGCATGCTGTGTCCCTCCAACGGCTTAAAGTCTCTCTCTTCCCTTCTGCCATATCGTCTCTCTTCCCAGCTGGAGAAAATTCTCTGCTTGTAAGCACTCCTCTGATTGGATGGGCCCACCCGGACACTACCCCTCTCTTAAGGTGGTGAGCTCAGCCACATCTACAAAGTCCATTTTGCCACGTAAGTTGATTGACAGGTTCCCAGGATTCAGGTAGGAGGGCTTTGAAAAGAGACCTTTCTGCTGACCACCGGGACGGAGTGACCTTCCACCCTGGGTTGGGTTATCACTTTCCCAGTCCCTTTGGACCCTACCCTTCCAGGATGCCTCTGAGCTGGATCTGGGCACCCAGGCAAGGCCTCCCCACTTCCCTAGAGTCCCACTGCTGAGCCCACAGAAAGGGCAGGCTTGGGCCACCCTTGGCTTTTGATTTCCCTCATCTTCTACCTCGTTTTCTCTCATTGTCCCCACACGGGCCGATTAACCAGGCCATCTTCTAAGGTAGGTCTTCTGGGCTCCAGGGCCTCAAGCCAAAGCAGTGAGAGAAGGAGGGCAGGTTGAGGGGGGGTGATTCTCTATCTCCAGGAGGCCTTGAACCTGGCTGTCAACACCCCAGAACATTTGGAACCCAAATCCAGCAGAGGTCTCCAGAGTGAGAGAGGAGGAGGCCCCCTTCCCCTCCCTCCAAGCAGGCTGGGCCAGTCTGGTCCACGACCTCTTCTGGATGCTTGCCCACCCCTCTCCAGAATATATCCCCCAGGCTCACACACAGGGCTCTTTGATCTAAAGCCAGGCCCTCCAGACAACAAAAGAAGTCAGCACAGGGCTTCAGTGGCAAAAAAAAAAAAAAAAAAAGAAACAAGCAAGTCATACAGTCAGAAGTCCCAGCTAGCTGTACAAAGTGCAAGCAAGAGATCACCTGGACTCAGGGCCAGAAGGGCCCTCCATCCAGGCAGGGGTGCACCCTGTACTATCCATCCTGCTAAACATGCAGCCGCCCAGGCCGCACCCCAGACCTACAGGATCTCCCGAGGGGTGAGGTTGGACACCAAAATGTCTAGAAGCTCCTCACGTAATTCTGATACAGTTAAAGTTGGAGACTAACCTGCTTTACAGGGGAGGAGACGGGCGCCCAGACTCACCCAAGGACATGAAGCAAACTAGTGGCAGTCAGACCAAACCCTGCATCAATCTTGATGGCCCCAAATCCATAAGTTCTAAAAACATTTTACATTCCTGGCACCTCTTAGGTGAATAAAACAGCACACAGCTACTCTGTAGTGTCTGGTAAACGTTCAGAGAATGTCCCCCTCAAACGTGATTCTCAACGCATCCCTCGAATCAGGAAACGAATCCCACTCATCACTCTTCTCCCTGCTGTTGCTGGCTTGTTTGTTTTCTGTGGAGACACATAATTAAAGCAAGCGGAACAAATAGAACGAGAGCGGGCACTGATGCCAGTTCTCCCAACACGAAGCAGCCTGCTGCACGGTTCCTGGAGCTGCCTTTGTCTGCCTCCGATTCTCTCCCTCTGGGGCTGCTCGCCTGGAAATTTGCAGGGCACAGCCAGAGTTCACGAAGTTTAGGAAGATGGGACGGCAGAGCTGACCTCATTCTCTTGTTCACCAGCCTGGTCCTGCTTCTGCACCCCACCTGCCAGGGAGGACCCCCTCAAACTCCAGCTTCCCAGATGAAGACTCTGCCCCATTTACACTTTACCGTCTAAGATACCCGACACGTCTCTTAAGTCTTGTTGCTTCTTGTGGCATATTCTGTGATTCCCCTCTTCCTCCTTTCCCACTGGCAGTATCCTGGTCCGTTGTTCAGATCCCCATGCCAGATTACTGGAACATTTGCTTAGCAGGACCCCCAATTCTGGCCTCTGTGATTTGCTGTTCATATCACACAGGAAGTTCCAGCTTTCTGCCTGAAACACCCATTTATGATGTTGCTCTCCTATGGAAGAACCCAAAGCACTTACCAACCTCACATGAGCCCAGCCCCTCTGCGTAGGACTCAAGCTCACATACTCGCCCAAACTGAGTTCCTCAGTACTCCAGCAAGCACCAGTGATAAGACATAGTCTTCACTGCCCCTTGCATGATTTTTACGAACTCTTTATAAATTATTATTTATAATTATTACCCAGTCTGCTAATTTTACATCCTCCACAGACACAGTATAGTAAAAGATGGACAGAAAATTCTCAATAAATCATTGTTACATGACTAATCTTGGCTAAGGGTCACTCACAGCAACAGCAAAGAATTTTTTGTTCTCAACCTGATGATGCATGTATTAAACTAAAGTCTAGGACCCAAACAAAGGGCTGTTATCATCTCCCAGTACTGTAAGTGGAGCCTGGTAAAGTGCTAACTTATCCTGGATATTTGCCACACTATGTAAAACCAAATCCTCTGCCTTGGGCGTAGCAGCTGGGGCAAATTTGGAAACCAGAATGGCAGCTCAGAATCCCTTCTGGCTTCAAATGGTGTTTTTTTAAAAGTCAACTTATTGTTTGCTTCAGTTGGGAATCTGTTATGTGCATTTCTGTCAGGCAAGTTAAGTCAATGTTCGTTCATTCATTCAGTCAGTCATTCATTCCTGCCACTCAGGATTCTGCTAAGCCAATTTCTGTTACACAGTATAAATCTGTACTTGCCAAATAATCCTCAAACACCTTACACAGTTCATAATTTTTCAAATATTTATGAGCCCCATGGAGAAGATTATGTTAAGCTGCTTGACAAGAAACAATAGCGTGTACAGGTCCAGAGAACATTCTGTTGGAACAAATGTTGTCAAGACATTAATACTTTTATAGCACTTTTCATAACAAACGTTCACACCTGCTCATTTCCCTAATTATCCCCGAGACTTTTACGCTCAGAGAGAACGAAATGGAATTGTTTTTTTTTAAGACTGGTAATTTGAAAAATTAGCTGCTATATAAAGAAAAATACATGTTCAGGCACAGTCATTGCTAAAAATAGAGTCTCGAGATAGATGCTCACGGAGTGAGATACTAAGTTGTTATGGCAACTATGATTATAATTACAAAGCTGGAGGGTTTTTCCTGTTCATTACTCCGTTGAGATGTGGTGGTTTAAATGGCAGTGTCCTTTGTAATGTCCTCAGTCTCATTACTACATAATTGCCCATTTCATATTTAATTTTCAGCATGTTTGTTATTACTCTTATACTCTGTGCATTTGGCATCTTCTGATGAGATTTATTCTTAGTTCATGGGTTCCCCACCCCACAACCTTGCAACTCAGTTCCTCTCCTCACTTTTTCCTCTGCTCTGTGTTTCAGT